CAGCTCTTTGCGCTGCTTTCTCTATATTAATCCGCACTTAGGTAGCTTGGACCTTCAAGGTATAGAACGTGGGTGAGTGATGGCACTTCTCAAACAATTCGAATGACAGATCATTGATCCTTCATAGAGCCTTTCGATACACCGGCAGTAAGCCAGTGTGTACGAAATACATGGCGCGTGACGCTAAAACCAAAGGAAAGCCCAGATCCACTGAAAGGCTATGTCGATGGTTTCAAGGTCGCCATCCACACCCCATCTGATACGGCTCTCCCAGAACGAATGGCCATTCATCAGGCTTCGCTCAGCCCTTGCTGATTGTGTCGGGGTCCAACTAATTGAATGGCGGAACTGCAGCCCCCATCCACCCTATTGACTCCAACACGGCGTATCGACTAGCCTCGCGATCTTGCTCCTCGATGAAGCAAATTCATGGTCAGTTCTATCCCATTCATATTTTTCATGTATATTGGGAGGGCATTCAGCTGACAAGAGCGAGCTTCGTACACTCAATGGGCATAGACCCCGTAGTCACGAGAACCAACCTTCATATCTCAAGCTACGGATTATCGGTCATTTCAGAGCTCCGAGGACTGCGTCTAGTTATGCAGCCATGTTGAACAACCTCTTCGGTGGCAAGGGTTGCACTCACGTCTGTTCTCATATATGTCACCTACTTTTGGGGTTGATAAAGAGTCTCCCCGCTCATGCCTACCTATCCTTATTCTTCCTCTTTTGGTACTAATATAGCCAGTAGTGCGACTGGTTGCCTCGCGCTTCCCACACCCACTCCATGCGTGCGATGCCTGCTCTGGGGACCCAGAGATCAATCGCACTACGAAACTACTATAAGAAGCACATTACCCACATTACCCAACAGGTGGCTTTTGATCGCGTCCGCCCCCTTCCCCCTGCATTTACATTCATATGACTGACTATCGTTCTAGTAGACCTCTCACGTCCAGCGAAAGATTTGTTACCTGATCTCAGCTCATTCCATTGGCAATGCCGTCGTCTCTTATCAAAAGCTTGGTTTTAGCGGCATTAGACGCGAGGCCGGCTGCAGTACAGGCTCTGGAGGTTAACAGTGGACGGCTAGCGTGGCTCGCTGTCTCACCTCACCCAAGTCAACACCTACCGAAATGAACAGTCTATGACAAGACCTGCTGTTGGATCCGCATTATGCATTCCGATGGCTGATCTCCATTGTCATTGGACAAGGCCACTTTGCATCAGCGTCTTCCGCCTCGGTCATCTGTGATGGTGCTGAAGAGACATGTTCTCAGCACGCTGTGAGCCAAGCCTGTACAAAGCGGGCGAGCTAGTGAAGATTACTACTCAGAAGCACTATGATGGGCATCTTGCTGTCAGCATGGCCACTTATGATGCGTCTACGGTATGTCAGAGGAAGATTGATTGTTGATTTGCAGAGGTGATACCTGATGATACATGCCGCGAGAGGACCAAATTGATTGGAAACTTGACTCGACATATGGAGATCTGAGGAGCCAATTCCAATGATGCGGCTCCGTTTCGGGACCAGCCTCAAATCACGCCCGCATCATGTATTCATGTGGCGTGCGTGAACTTTCTGGTGGGCCGACTTATGGGGCAACTGCATATCAAGGGAGTGCTAACCTTTCCGGTGCCTTATGACTTTCGGGGATGGCATACGTCGACGGAAGCAGACTTGGGTTGCTGTTCTTCAATGGTCCGACGCGCCGCTGACTGGACTTTGCCACGGCTAACTTCGCGTAGTGTATGCGTGACGTCATTTGTCAAACGCGTCTCCACTGGGCTTCGTCCGCGGTGAGTTCATTTTACAAGTGCGCATCATTTGCGCTTTTTTCAATGGCTAGCTCCTCTTTATATTGTCTTCTCGCCGAACTACACCAGCTCATGCTCTTGACAATCTCAACGTTTGTGAGCGGGAAACCTAAAGACAAATAGAAAGGAGGCCAGCGGGAGCTCCAATGGTCCGAATATGGCTCTAGGGAGGGCAACTTGGGTCTTTCCCCAAACAAGCTAATTTTGCAATCAGACTTGCAACGAATCTTGAGAGCGCTGCGTTGACAGGGATGCGACGTTCAACAGTGGGATCAGCAGCAAGGTCAACCAAAAATTTGACTTCATGAGATGTTTTCATACACGACGGGGGCATATTGCCGCAGCATGGCAAATTTTGGGCTTTCGCCGCTCTCTTGAAGCTAAAGGTCAATTAGTTCGACTTCAATTGGGGTAGCTCCCAAGCGCAGCTCGCCCTGATAGGGCTTTAGCGGTGTGGTATTCGCAAAACCGACTCGCTTAGCATTTTCGTCTAGAACGACAAGGTCGGGCTCACCAGATACCAATACACTACAGCGGGATATAATTTTTGGCACGAGCGCTGCCGGGTAGGCTCTAGCGGGATATTCTGAGGTTGCGTCAATGAATAGTATTGAACGCGACCTCAAAGTTTGAAGTCACGGATTTGACACTAGAGACTTTTCTATCGGATGCTGTCTGACCATGCTGAGTGCCTGTACCAGTCAGCTATTACTTGTTTACTATGCGGCAAATATCGGTCGGAGGAGAGGCTAGGCAAGAAAGTTGCTCTTCTACTCATGGCGGGTGATTCTACTACGAGGGATGCATGATTTTCCCAGGCGGGTCTACAGAGGGACCTATTGCCAGATATTCAGTCTCATTCTGGCGTGTTTGCGAGATGTCCTTGTTTCCAGATGGCTCTCGGTGCATGTTATGTCATAACAATAGATTATTGGGGAAATCGCCTGCCCTTTTCCGAGGTAAAATGGAACATCTATCGGCCTATTTGCCATCATCGCACATGAGATCTTCCATACGCCTTACCTTTCGCCGTCTGGTTTCTGATCAAGATCATTCGAGCCGAAAGGGCCAGCCTCAAGCGCCGGGAGCAAGGGTTGCTTTGACGGAAGGCAGCCTAGTTGTCACGACGGGACACAACTCGATGGGGGAAGTGTCATCGAAAGTCGGCATGTATGGCTCTATTCATCGGTACACCTAAAGCACGTCGGAGGCTCACCACGGGTATTTCGCTAGCGCAAGAACGGCCGACTCAATCACCTCAACGATACGACTCAAGTGTTTCCTAATCCAGAAAGAGGACGAAGGCAGATATGCGAGACTGACCAAAGGGCCACAAAACATCGAAGCCCTTAACACTGATGGAACCAATTTGGTCACATGCCCTCCGCTTCAACTCGAAGCCCCTGGTCCATTCCGGTCCTTTCTTTTATCCAAGATCAATTCTCCCTCTCAAGCCCATCCGTTTGATTCCTTCAAAATCTCGGTGATCGACGGAGTGGTGGACGTGGGAATTGTATTCAGACTGACATCAAATGCCGAGCTAATAGCCTCACTACTCTAGACAGCCAGGAAAGCCTAAGTTGTCTTTTCAACTCACCCCTGGTAAGCTGCCAGTGAGTGTCTCAGAGGATCAAATATCGAAACACAAGCAGTGATTGCCAGCGACCAAGACGCAAATACCAGCCCACGATCAGGGACCAAGGGCATATAGACATATATGACTTCGAACTAGAATTTCATCTATTGGGCAAATGCAATGGGCAGACATTATGCTGTCTCACAGTTGCCACATGGTGAAGCATGTAGAACCACTACAGAGCGGCAAGACATATCTGCGATGTTCATCAGTATTGAAAAGTTCTCATTCATTTCCCTTCGTCTTGACTGCGGACACCAAACAACCAATGCTGACTGAGCCCAGATCCGAAACACTGCGTTGTATGTCGAGAGGAGGTGCATGGAATTCTCGAGGCCATTGTCACCGAAAAAGACGTGTCAAATGTGGTGCTGTCGTCTCAGCCTTCTCAGTCTGGTTATATGCACTCGCTCCGGCGAGCAAGTCAGGCCAACAGCCCTATCCTGTGGGTTCAATACTTTCTCCAAGCGAGGTTGTGCGACCGGAGTGGGCCGTGACTTTGGAGATTGTCCTTTTGCGAAAATCGGCTTATGCAAGTCGACTTTCCGTGCTGGAATCAACTCACCGTGTGCTTATTCCTTGGAGAAGAATCAATTCAGTAAGCGTTCAATTCAGTTGAAAAGTGCTCGTGGTATGTCCCCGTAGCTCATTCAATTCTTCATACAAGGCGCTTACACGGCGAGGGCAAGTGAAAGGCAGAAGGTGTCAAACACTGGTCCAGATGCGGAACATCTTGATCGGCCCAAATGTTCGCTGGACTTCGTAGGACTGATAAGGCCTCTTCGTGGCTTTACGGTGGTGCTAACAGCTAGCTGAGGTTGCGGGTGGTAAATATGCACCACGCGTTCACGCGTTGCCCCGACATTCTCCCCCTACTGACCACCGCTTTTGACGCCTGGATATCTGAAGTCGGCCTTCTGGAATGCGATATTTCGTCTAACTGTCGCAATACACGCTCTTTTCACGACGGGCGGGGGATGCCTGCGCCACGTGTGCACAACTGCTGATGACTTGGTATTACATCACTTTTCCAGAAAAATCGACCTCGCCCATTAGGAGGATGTTCATCGCCCATGCCCGTATTTGATTCATTTTCCAAGCGCCCTCGAGCCGGGGGGCGGGGTCCCCCAGAGACCCCCTTTATGGGGGTCGACGAGGCAATTTCCAATTGCCGGGGGTGCCCCCAAGGCGACGGGCAAGACGCCCACACTACTGCGGTCCCGCCATACCTCTGCATCCATTACATCTATTATCCAGCCATCATCAATTTGTGCAGCGCATAGAATTCAAGAGCATTCGCGCTTCAGCTTCGGATTTGTCGACCACCCCCCTTGCCATACTGGTGGTTGGTAAATAGACAACAGTCGCCTTTGGCCTCAGCCATGCAGCCAAGTTAATTCAGACACTTCACATAACCTATCAAGCTCTCAACAATGAATGCTCCACTTCGGAATCAGCAACGTAATTTCCTCTTGTGCCTCTGAAAGATTCTTGGTTATCAATGTTCAAATCCTGGGGATGATGCGACCTTGACAGCGATGGGTCAGCGAGCGGAAGACTAAGGCCCTTCCTCGATCATCTGCTTGCACACGCCTAGGATCGATACCGGCGTCTACACGTCACAAGTCTTTGATATCGTACCGAGAAGTTAGAGTGGAGCCCCGACATCCCTTCGAATAGTCGGGTACAAGAAGACGACGGAACCGGGGATAGAGACTAGGTCCTAGGGCATCTTCAGGATGATAGAATGCTTAGGCTCAGTCTCCAACTTCCCATATATTGAACTCAATCGCTCGGGCAGAACAATGAGGATGGCTACAGGACAGGCTGAAAAGGTGATATGCGACTTGGCTTCAGGTGCCTTGATGAGTAGGAGGCTGACGAACAGTGCGCCAATGTAACTGGTTGACGCGCAATAGATCCTCCGCGTAGGAGCATGAGAGATGAGGACAAATCGAGAATGACCGGCGAATCTTGCCCGTCGCCTTGGGGGGCACCCCCGGCAATTGGAAATTGCCTCGTCGACCCCCGTAAAGGGAGTCTCTGGGGGACCCCGCCCCCCGGCTCGAGGGCGCTCAAGGAATGAACCAAACATTCGCATTGAGTACATGCATCATCGTAACGAGAATGGGCCTAATCAAACCGAGGAACTTATCCCCACAAGTTTAATCCGTTGCCATCCCGTTCTACTTGGGATGCGCAAGGAACTACCCGAAGACTTTAAAACAGACCAGGTTGAACACCACTGGGGATCACCGTTCGAAAAGGTGCGAGTAATAATCTAGGTTCACGCTCGAGACAATGAAGGGCTCTGTCTCTCATGCTATGGGATAGCAAGGGAGCACCCGGAGACAATTTCTGGCTTGATAGGTAGCTTCACATGCAGCGAGAACGACGTCCTGATGTAATCGAGAGTGAAAAGTCCTGCTACAGTTGTTCTCTTGGATGAAGTCATCGTCGCTGCTTTGAAGCAAGGCCCCTGACCACTACATTGTTGGCGTTACTGACTTTCAAGTGTCTGTTCAGATACCTTTTCAGGATACAAGCGGGAGGCTTTCCGAGGTGAAAGTTCTCTCAGTCAGAGTGATGTGGTATTATGCTGACAATGCAGATACTGCGCATGACGACTGCAGCCCATCTCCAGTGACTCAAGACGAACTCGATTGTTTGAAAGTTGCATCAAGCTGACACCAAAGCCAGGCCATTATCATCTCTAAGTTAGGATAATGGCGGTGCCTATACGCCCTTTCAATTCGCCGAGTACGAACTGTCAATGCGTTATGCAGTAGCGGAACACTTATTGAAGGCCAGGCTGCGATTGCCAAGGTCGATGCACAGAGCAATCTATAGCCCAAGGACAAGTATAACTCGCATCAAACCAGATTTCTATCCCTCGACAAATGAAATAAGCCCAAGATGTGCAAATTCACAGTTGCCGTGTCTACTGATCACAGTCACTAGACATTGGTGCGGCGATAACTTGTAAGAATAAGTTCTTATATACCTCCCTTTTGTTCCGATTGTGGGTACTGTAGCGATTCGGCTGTGCTGATTGATAATACATCCGAGTCATCGCATGAAGGCCCCAGGGACATCACCCCTTAAGTGTCTCATGCCTTTCATCTCGTATATAGCGTGATGCTGTCACTGGAATGGGAGTCCTGCAATTAAGTATTATATGCGAGACGGGATTTAGTGGCGGCCTAGCTGGTTTCTATAGTACATAATAAGCAGAAGCATGAATATAAACGAGTGAGAAATCGTATCTCAAATGCTGGCATTGTCGCCACTACCCATAAACACTCATCAACAATTCACTCATCGCGCTAAGCCCACACCAACAGTAACATACAATGGTTGCTAGTTACAAAATTCGTCTCCCTTCCGGGGATTCAAGCACTTGTTCAGTCAGAATTTGACTCAAACGTCATTTGATACAAATATTCCGTAAGTATTTGTAGTTGAATTCTGATACGCAGAACATACATTAAGGCGCATATTTCTAAATCCTTAATACGAAATTAGGATCCAGTAATTTGATAAAGCGACTCCATTTTGGGGGTTTGAAAAGCCTCTCAATTCGTCTGTGTTGTGACCACTCATGACAACAATGCACAGTGGGAGTTGCGCTAGCTAACAGACTCATTCCCATTGCTTGCGTTAAGTTCTTTTAGCTTGAGGGGCAGGATTTGCAGGTGTGTCAATTTGAACGAGTATAGGGATATCAGCTCGATTTGAAATTCACGACTCAATCAGTGAATAACAGAGTAGGTACAGCTCTTGTAAGATGTTCACAGCAACTTCGCAGAACACAATATGGACCACTGCTGAGCTACAGGTAGGAATGTAAATGAATCTTCTAAAGAGGTGACGCTTCGTCTGTTCTGAGCTTTTACCCTCGGCGGTATTTCCCAATCATCGCTTGTTTGTCGTTCAAGGCCCTTGATTGTGTGTCACTGACGAGTTCGATATTTCGAGTTTTAAATTTTGAAACGCATTTTCAATGGCAAGGACATGTATATTTTGGTCGGCGAGTGTGGAAGTGAGCACTCGAAGCTGCACCTCAAAATTTTGCATAGCAGTCAAGACTGGTGAGTTCAGGTCGCTGTGGGAAGTTTCAAGAGTTGATGCCTGATGACTTCGAGTGCGTACGAGAGGCAGATTGACCGCGGGAAGCATTTCATCATCGCTCGAGTCTTCAAGAGGGGGTTCCCGGGCAGGCCAAAAGACACCGAGATTCAGGTGAGAGATAGGAGGCAGAGTTATTGAGCCATGAGGCGCTGGAGGCCCGGGAGCTTCAAATCGGATCCCTGGCGCAGCAGCAGTGTCACGAGGTAGGTTTTGAGCATGGCTTTGCTGGGATTCCCACTTCGTGGCTTGGCGACGGCAGGATTGCCATGAGTAGAGTCGACCAGTTTTCTGGAGAAGGAGGGCTGAAATATGCTTCCAAAAGCGCTTTCTGTGATTCGCGAGCATCTCACCGGACTTTTTTGACATGCACAGATCCAACAAAGTTTTGTGGTGGGCTGATGTCAATCTCCTGCCTCGTCTTGTACCCTCGCATCTTATGCCGGTGGCGACTGATTGGCGCGGCTCCAGTGCTGAAGATCGGCTTAGGATAGTCCGTCGGCCTGTCATGTTTAAGCAATCAGAATCATCCTGTCGAGCGCGGCGAGTGGCAGGGACTGATGAGGTAAAACACACCGCGTCTGTTACTCATGTGAGACAAGGGGCACCCAGCGTATAAGATCTTGTCGAACTCCGCAGGAGAAGATTACCACCTTTCCTATTACAGATTGATGATTCAGCGCGGGCTTAGATCCTATATTGCTGTTTTTGTATGTAAAGCGCACGTAAGCGTACGTATGGGCTATACAACTAGCCTATACGAATCAGGCAAGATCGCTCAACTCGATCGAGCACCTAGATAGAATAACCCTCTCTGAATGGTATCCAGTTGTACTAGTTCATACGCGTTCGCCCCTATCCGACATAGACCACCACAAGCGCATTGAGAGAAGTAGTCAAGGTGACCGTCTGCAGTCCCCATCGACAAGCTGGCCAGAAGCTCGCTTGGATCATAGTCGACAAGAGTTGTCTTCTTAAGTTCCAAAACGTTGGCGGAGACACGGCAAACTGTACTATCGGCAAATCTTTTTAAACAGGGAGCACCTGCTTTGCGTTCAATGACAATTCGACTGAAAGACCCGTGAAATCGCCTACATCGACCTCGTCTACCATAGAGCACAACACGTCTACCTCGCAGATGTGCTCAATGTCTTCCAACTCCAACTCCAAGGGCTGTTAGTTCAAAGGTCTGGAGCACCTAGTGGCTCGTTCAAGACCCTTTGGCACTCTTTACAGTATTTCAGTGCAGAGTTCTGTTATGTATCTGATTAAGTTGTTGATGGGTTGAATCAAATTCTTGAAATTGAAAAAAACTCGTTTTCTCTTAATGTGCAGGAAGGTCAACAGACCATGTGAAAATCATCAAACATTTCATTTGAGAAATGTTGTCCGCCCTTCCAATCATTCGTCTGTAGTTGAAATAAATGGTTTCCATAGGAAGCACAGCAGCCAGGTATCGAAAGCCCACTTGCATTCACCGGCATGTGCAGGAAGAGCCTTGCCGCTGGAAGGAAAGCGTTGCATAGTACTCGCGTAGTCCGAAAAGACTATGGGCTTTCTCTGCTGAGGGTGTCAGAAGTAGGCCAAAAATCCCAGTCGACGGGATCTTCCTTCTCGGGCTCTGACAAATCGGTGCCATGGACTGGCTCTTTCGAGATTGTAGACTTTGAGGGTGCCCGGCCGTCCTGTACATGAGAAGGAGACTTTGGAGAAACAGCTGCAAGACATTCCATTAGCAATGGTAGCCTCTTTTTCTCAGTCATCGATTTACTTGGGACGTCATTTTGCTCCATGTCTTTCATACCAAGCAGATGTTGATTGCAAATACCAGACAGCGTCATGTGGGCCAAGGCAGATGGGCGGCTGACAGAAGGGAAGTTCGAGACCAGTTATCAGAGGAAGCTAAAGATAAAAGACGACGACGACGACGACTTTGCGGTGATTATTCACTTTGACGCAATCAACTAAAGTAATTCACGGGCGGCCCGATCACACGGGCGGTCCGATCACCTAACCTGAGCATTAAATTTTAAACACATATATTACTACTAAAACGCTAATATATTGAACATATAGCCTATTTACGCCTATATGGACAGGAATTCCGTTTATGCTCTTTAACCCCACAATCCGAGCATGTAGGTAAAGCTCTGGTTTGCTGCTGCAAGGGTGGATTTACCGCTTCTACCGGGGGTAGTATAGCCGGTTTAACCACGTCTGGGGGGGTCTGTAGGGCCTGTAAGACATCTTCCACACTAATTCCACTTAGATTTTCAATCCATCTATTCGTCCGACGTCATTTTTGCTTCTTTTTCTCGCTTTCTGCCCGTAGAGCGCTATTTTCATACACTAAGAATATAGCTAAGTTCATAGCTAATTCACAGCCTTTGATAAGTTAATTTAGTACACGATCTGTAGGTATAGGGGGGCCCTGTGATCGCTTTTTGATAAGAGCTTTGATAGATAAAGCTTGTTTTTGTAGCTGTAAGAGATTCTAGGATGTTCTGGGCAAGAATATACTACCTACGCTACCAGGGGGGGTAGGGGTCTTCAGATAGATATTAAGCTTCGAAAGTACCTTAATAGGACTATATAGAGATAGCCCAGTCGCTAAGAAGCTATTTTAAATAGTATTTAGCTTAAATATATCTACACCTACACTTAGATAAGCCATAAGAAAGCCGAATTTATCAATATAGTTAAAGCCAAGACGAGTCTTTGATTCTACCAATCGTCCATATGCTCGCTTTAGAACCGCAAAACAGCCAACATCAAGTGGCTGTAAAAGATGTGAGGAGTGTGGAGGCATATAAATTGGTATAATATTATTTGCAGCACAAATTTCGTCGAATTTGGGTGTTAAATGGCTACTATGTCCATCGAGAACAAGAAACTGATATCCACCTTGTGAGTGTGATATATCCGAAATCAGCGCTTTTTGAAGCCAACATAGGCTAATTTCGTCTGAAGTCCATCCATTTGGACTATTATCCAATATCCAATCCTGTAGAAGGCCTTCTGCCCATGCTAAATTCAAGGATTTGTGCTTGAAGATAATATAGGGTGAAAGTACATATCCGGCTGCACTGATACATTCAATCACAGTCACCCATTCACGATTTCCAGGCTGTAAAAGTGCAAGTTTCCCATAGTATTCTGTACGTGTAATCACTTTAGCAGTTGCAGTAAGGCCCATTGCGAAGCCTGTCTCGTCGAAATTATATGGCGTCACCCCATATCTGTCAGGTTCAGTCAACTTCAAGCGACTCAGGCGCAGAACAAGTTTCACGAGGTCGTAGTGGCCTCGGTTGACAGCGTGCCATAGAGCCGTTCGTCCTCTGCAGTCTGACAGATTCACATAAATTTCATGATGTAACAGGAGAGACTCAACCATGCGGACAGATTGCTGTCCCTGGAGCTTCTTCACAGCCAACGCGAGATGTGGATCATGTTGTGAGCTTTGGCAGTTGACATCAATTCCCGTGTGGGTCACCAGCATCTCCACTGCGATATGGTGCCTCTCAGGATTTGCATGCTGTAAGCGGCGTCCAGCCGAGATGATCCGTGACATCAATCTCTTGACATTGAAGAAGCGCTCGACAATAGGAGCATCACCGCCAACCACGGCAAGTGACAGTGGGCCTCGACCGCCAAGGTCGCAAGAGGAGCGAAGATTAGGCTGATATTTGAGTATCAGACCCACGGCCTCTGGGTATTGCAGGTCAATAGCAAGAAGAAGAAGAAGCATATTCTTCCCTGCGTATTCAAAGTCGATATTCACGTGGTATTCTTTGATGAATCGCGCTGCAATATCCAATCTTTGGGCCGTCACGGCACCAAAGAGCGGCGAGACTTTATCAACCAAAAGGGAGTGGAAGAGCGCTTCAGTGAAAATGAGACTGGTTCGGCGACAGATCAGGCATAAGTTCAGAATGTGATTCGTTTGAAGATATCTGCAAATCCAGAACAAAAGCTCTGTTGGAAGTTCAGAAAGCATTAGGATCTGCCTTTGCCGTGTTGGGTGGTGCTAGAGGTATAAACCGCAGCAGATTGCAAGATTGATCACCTGGGACTCATAGCGCAGCGCACCTTCCCCTTATACGCAAGTTCTGGAGCACCCAGTCCTTTGACCTTTCGGAGACCCCCGGCCAGAAGCCTGCATGTGAAACCAGAGTTCGTGTCCCAAGAACACCACACATGGATCCTTGAAAGCACAAGGTCAGTCCTGGGATCATGATCGAACGTTCTGGGAGCGCTACAGCTCCCAGGGCCAGTCAAAGGGGTCCTAGCACCGGCTTTCAAGAGCTTGGGACTAGTTTGCGCATGCCGCGTTACCGCAGTATAACGGACATTCGTGTGCGCCCTCACCACTAAATCTACATGATGAATCATTTGTAGCGCGGGCGATGGGCTGAGCGAATACTGGGCGGCTAGCTCAATAGCTTGGATGTGCGGTCAGCGACCACCCTCAACAAGTGAGGGCAAGTTGACATACCTGCTCAAAGAGCAATACGCTCACCGACCTCAGTTTTCAACCTGTATCCAGCACTTAAAATAAAGCAATGGTGATTACAGAGCATGTCGACGCGGTGAACTAGTGATCCGCTGCATATGGGTCACAATTGTTGAAGTGGTGGTCGCTGATTCAACGTCGAAGCTTCATCAATGCTAGACGTAGATGCGAAGAACCATGACAGGGCCTGGCTCTTGAAAAATGTGTGGATTGGCTCCACGGCCTGCAGTATGTTATTGCACCGCCCGTCGCCTGAGTTGAAGAAAGCTCAACAGACCTCACTTTGTGCAGACATTATCAATGCCCCTCGAAATTGGCGACAGGCTGACAACGTCACTCAATGATTGGGTGAGATAGGCGACGACCAGGCAGGCCGAAATTATAGATACGGGCTCTTCCCCGGGCTTTGTCAAAGCAATTCGCAACCTTTTCGCGTCAGATGGGTCTTTTCGCCTCGAGGATCCGAGATGCAATCCTATAACAGACTCATGATAAGCTTTTCACCTATGACTCCCCAAGCTCTTCATATTGCTGACACGCACAGTGCATATCCCGACCTCTGCAGCTGTTCAGCTCTCGTCAGGCGCGCTGATTCGCTCTAATCGAATGTGTTCACATCCGCCAGACAGGCCCTGAGTCCTGGCTAGATCCAGCCTCTTCCGTGAGTCTACCTTTCAGCTGCGCCGAGCCGAGCTAATAGTATCACTTTCCACCAGCTTCCTAGGCCATGAGAGAAGAGGCAAGGCTCTCTATGCAGGCATGTCCCTTATCAGTCCAATACAATCGGAGACTGTACTGCAACAACAGATGTTACAAACAGCCCGGGCTGTCTGATTGGACCGCTCCAGGTCAGCGTGACAAGAATCTGCACCCGTTTGTCATCCACGGCCAATAGCCATATTCCTGGTCAGCGCCAGAACCTGTGAACTAGCTTTCTACGTGAGTCTCGAGCTTCAATATTGGTCGACTTGCTAAATGATGCCTGACAGATGGCGCCCCTAAGGAGGCCCCAGTGTTTCAATCCGGTTCGATTTACCCTGTCAGATTCAGAGTTTCACTCCCAGAACTATGCATCCTTCATCGTCTCGACTCATGCAAAAATTCGACAAGAGTCAGAGAAAGGGTACATGCGCACGCCGCCACGGTCGCTGCAGCAGCGAATTCGTGTATCTGGATCTTTGTGGGCAATAAGGTATCTCTGCCCGAGGCTTTCCCCCACGACCATTGCATAGATCGTCCGCCCTGATTTCAGCTGAGGTTTAAGCCTTAAGCGATTATTGACAATACAGGCAGCATCCGTTGGATCAAAAATCGGAGGTTGGGCTGATCCACGAACAAGATCTGTTTTATTAGTGCCGTGTCCCGTTCAAGCGAGGCGAAGAGCGGACAAGGTAAAGGAGAAAAAGGCTGTGAGTGGCCCTCCGTATATCCCTGTTCATGCTGACATATCTTGAAGCATCCTTTGTCAGATGGCACAGGCCGTGTCAATTCAGCGAGACATCGCACAACCCCTTCATCGTATCTTGTACGCGCCTGGCAGCCTCAATGGCTTTGTCGAGAGGCGATGAATCTCTTGCCGCGCGCACCGTTCCGATGTGTCCATATTTGCCGAAGGCATGGCCCCCTCGCCCTACAGTCAGTCAATCTCAACTAAACTGCAAGAAAAGTCGAGAGCACCAGCATCCCGACCACGCGGCGAGGGCAAAGTCCTGAGTCTGATGAGCTTGTATGCCAAGGGCCTCTGGAACGGTACGATTTCAATTCTCTGATGTGAAGACTATGACGAGAGAAAGCAGAAGGCCCTAATTCGATGTTTGGACGATCCCCACGGCGGGCATCCATCGTGAAATATGCACCAGTCCGAGGGGATGTACATTCAGCTCGCAAGGGTACCGCAAGGCTCGCCGTGCTGTGTTTCTCAACCTATTCTTGAAGGCAAATCTGGCGGATGTATCTGTCATCAGATAAAAGAAGCTATCGCTCTCTTCGATAGTCACACATTTTGTGGTAGCTCTTTGCTGAGACAAGTACGACCAACAACAGAACGCATCCGTCGGACATGAGATGGGCGTCGCAATTTGGCAGGGCATTTCAAGACAGAAGACTTCGTTCATCAAATTCACGCAAGGCCAGCGACAGCGCAAGTTTCTGCGTTCTCAGTAATGTGATATCTGCTTCGACAGCTCGGCAGCTCGTCAGCTCGGCACCTCTCCTTTCTCACTTTTGCCTCGATTGTTGAAAACAACCGGCTCCCTGACGCCCTAGGTGTTTCGCCCTAGATTCAGTCCATACCTGCCGCGCTGGATGAAGAGCGCAAGCCCAGACGGCATCTCAATATTCCGTACGTATAGAAGCACTCATGAGTTTTACCGAGCTGGCGTGACCTGAGTGTCAGCCACTAGACTGTAGGTCAACAATCTCTCTGATCCACTCCTCAAGTGGAACTCGACAGGAGATTCCGGGCAAGCCTGTGGCACATAAAAATATCCGGGTAAAGTCAAGCTGTCACCTTCCGCATTGGCCCTTCTATATCCGCGGCTCGATCGTCAGCATTGGTCTTGATGAAGGGTAGGTTCATGTCGACAATATGTGCAGACCCTGTTGAGCCAATGAGACCCACTGCTCACCAATCCGGTCTTCAACACCCGCAGGCTCCGCTTACAGCCATAATAGGTAAATGGGAGACGTTGAGTGACGATAGAAAAGGCTTGGATCATCTAGCGATGAGATTGAATCATCTTGGCAGCTTCTACATGGCCAGGCCCCGTTGATTCAGTTTTGCGCCATATTGGAATCTGGATAAACCATTGAAGCTCAACAGATCAACGGTGATAATTCAACGAAAAGGAAACTACTGGTGGAGTGATCTATCATACTCAGTTAATGAACCAGCCCTCCCTTCTACACAGCGCCCAATATTCGAGGTGGTGAAATTCAACCATCCGCCTTACCATGCCCTTTAACGAATTTTGCCACGATCTCAACGAGCTCTGCAAATTTGGCACCACAAACGAGGAAAAGATGGCAGTGAGTGAATTAGCTGGAAACGCTATAAGTATCCTGCCATTTCCGTGCTTCATTGCAACCATCCCTCTGCAAACCGTACTGCATCCTGGCAGGTCTCTTACACTTTCCTGTAAGTCTCTCTTTCCCAGCTCCTCGGCTTTTTGTCTCATTTTACCGGTGCTCATACGACTCTCTAAGCCACTTAAACCTAGAACTAAGCTTATCCAATGCTCATGCAGTACGCATCTCTTCCAGGTACGTTCACCACCCTCGTGCGAGCTTCGAACATCCCATCCTAGACTTTGATCCAGCTGACCTTCATCGTGTTATGAAAGCGGTCTGATACAAAAGTAAGACTTGCAAAGGGGAGATCTCCCCACCTGCTGCTGTATGGCATGAGGTGAGTACACCAGCTACTATCGATGACTCTTTGATTCAATCTTAGCCGCTAATTATGAACAGATGATCTGGAATTGCACTTATAGTGTCATCAGATACCAATCTCATAGTGTATCCAAGATGACCTAGAAAGCTTCAGTTATATTCTCAACCTATTCAGAGTAAGCTGTTGGTGATGCCAGAGATTGACAGAGTACAAACCTCACTGCCTGCGCGCACGATGAGAAGGACAGCTCCAAGTTGAGTTTCAATACTCAGGGCTTAAACCAGTGTCCAAATTTGAAAGACAAATGGGTCGAAATTGATTCATCCTAAATATGAATTGAGCTATTATTCAATAGTATCTGACATCCCGTTCCCAAACCGTGGCAAGAGTCAGAATCGCTGGAGGGATCTCCAATCTCATCGGCTTCTCTCAACCTTGCAGTCCTTGCACTGCTTTTCCTTGTGATTAAAGCTGCTGGCCGGTGCATCCTTGCCCACTGTGGTCGTTTCTTTCTTGCCGGTCGAAGGCGAGTCGTTCAAGCGCGATTTACGATGGGACGTTAGAATAACGCGAGGAAAGTGGGAGGCCTGATAATTAGCATGTTTTTCTCAAGTATCATCTGAAGATGACATACCATTTGATGGGAAACAAAATCCCAGAACCCCGGCTCGTCTGCTGAAACAATGTGTACTTCGCCAGTTTCACGAATGCGAATCCCGACGCACACATCGGCATGACAGAGGGCGCTGTATTCGAGAACTTTCTTTATGAGTCCTGCTCTGCGGCGGCATCTTTTTTGACGCGCCAGTTTTCTGGATTTCGATTGTGTAGCAAGTGTGCTCTCGCTTGCGGTCATTCTAAATCGTGCAAAGGTGGGTGATATTTTGATGCGATGCTGAAACTCGAAAGCGCAAATTTAAAGCAGCAGACTACACGTCATTTAAGAAAGCGTTATGAAACTTCTTCATTTACCAATAGAACTCATGGGTTCCCTCAAAGTTCAGCCTGGTAAACTGGCACAGCTATTGACCTAACTTTGAAGGCCGCTCTTCGAAGAAATGTGTCGCGGGGACTAAACAGAACGCAAGTTTGAACCTGTTCCACTTCACCAGTTCAACCAACACCCATCTTCTAAAACATTGGCTTGCAATGAAATTCAAACACTTCCAAGCTTCCATGGGATATTCATTTGTCATTGGGTCAAATAAAGAAGTCACGGAACTACACGAGGCCGGCCGCGCCTGCCTCTGGTTGTTCACCAGCGTCAGCGTCCGCAACGGGCTGGTCGGAACAGGGCTGGTTGTTCGCGTGAGCCAAGTCGACGTTACCTCGTCGAGCCGGACGGTCGGCAGTGATGACGCGCTCAATGTCCACTACGCACAGTTGGGGGTAGTGTTCGAAGCTGTCTCGTATGTCAGCACGGCACTCCCTCGCATCCAAATACCGCTGTGGAAACTAGACGTGACGATCGTTGTGAATCACCCTGCCGTGCTACTCTGTCTCGCAAAACCCCATCTCCAGAGTGGCCAGGTTCTCATCGTACAGATCACGGAAACAATCCGCCAGCTGACGGAGGCAGGGGTCAAGGTCAGTCTGAAGGCCCCTACTGATGAAGACCAGGAGATTACCACGCGAGCTAGATTCGGCTCTTCCGGGACCCCACACGAAAGTGCTGTATGATAGCCTGGATCGGGAGAAAGCATCGATACTCGCTCAACTCCGCACGGGACATGCCAGACTGAATGTATATCTTCACCGAATCGGTAAGGTCGACAGTGATATGTGCGAGTGTGGCGTCGAGCGCGAAAGAGTCCCACATTTTCTGCTTCAATGTACCCGGTGGAATGAACAACGTCGCGCACTAATTGAAGCCGCGGGTTCGAGTTTCGGCAGTCTATCACATATGCTAGGAGGCAAACCTGAGATTGTAGTAGGTACGAATCAACTGAATGGCAGAGCATGGAAACCCGACGTCAAGATTGTCAGAGCCGTCATCGCGTTTGTAATGAAGACGGGCCGGCTGGCTCCAGAAGGGTGAAGAAGAAAAAGGGCTGAATCGACTACGATGTAGTGTTTTGCTATCATATGTACATAGTCAGCGGTGCAGCGCACACTAGCTAGGGGGCTACATACGACCCAAGGTCGTGAAAAGCCTGAGAAATAAATAATAATAATAATAATTAGGGGTGGACTAAATAGCGCACAAATAGCCAATTTGAGTTATTTTATTGCAGGAGGTTTCGGACCACAGGAACACACCCGTGAAGATCAATAGTGAAGATCAATAGTGGGACTTGGAATTCTCGGCAAGGGCCTAAGATAGATATGCCGAATGCAAGAGAAATGAGAACGACTCGCATTTACTATGATAGTGGAAATATGCGAGGCTGCCAAGGGTCACCCAAAAACGATCGCGACAAAAAGAAAATGAGTTCTTATTTTGGTACAAGAGAAGAACTAGCCGGTCCCGACTCCGATTCTATAGACCGAATCTGAAAATGCAAAGCGTCCAAAGGGTTCGAAGATAAGGTCAAGTCAAGGTATGGCACATAGTCGGCGAGGTGAAGAAGCGCATGGCGGATTATGTTTATATTAGGGGTATCGAACCAAGGCAAATGCAGACGCTCCTGCTATGCTGTCAAGAAAAAGGTGCTCCGAGAACATGTGCAGGATGACGAACCACTTTTGGCTAATGGCCCTTTTCCTGATGGCTGTTCTTTTACTTTGCACCGCGCCGGCATAGGTCGGGCCCAGTACCATCTGGAACTGCGGCGAGAACCACTGGAGCCGATACTGATGAGACATGCACCTGGCTTCCTGTTACTTGTAGGCGTCGGTTGGCTGCACTACACCCCAGCGTGAGGAGTCGCCGATGGAGAGCAAGCCGTCATATTAGGGACACCTCGGCCCCGGTTCAAATTGCCCATTTGTGCTTGTGCGAAGGCCCTATACTTTGGTGTGAGAGGCGGGGTGAGGTATCCTTGGGCAACGGCAGTCAGTTGCTGGGACTTCTGAGGGGTGGCGAGGCTCATCTCGCTACCATACAGCCTGGATTCCACATGAGTCTCAACCGGTAGTGTGTAGTGGGCGTAGCTGACTAACGAAGCCTGGCGGTTGAAGAAGTGCTCCAGTAATTTGGAAACCCCCGAGTAGCGAGCCGAGGCGTACTTCCGGGCGGCGACGATAGAGGGTCGGTGAAGCTGTTGGGATAAATCAACTAGAGTTATCGAGTCATACTGGGCGTCCCAGCTGGTATGACAAGGCTGGTGTCTGTTGAGTATGTGACGCGACAGAGCCAATGCAGCGCGAGCAAGCTCAGACGACGGCCTAGAGACGAACTCCCGGCAAAACAGGGCAATTTCCAGGACATAGAGGGCCATGTGCTCCACCTCAGGGTCGTAGGCCTCATCGAGAAGGGCGATCTGCAGGAAACTGTCCACAGTCGGGTGGCCTATAGTCCAGTCTAGGGTCTGCAGGACATGTCTCTCCATTTGGATGAACATGTCGTCATCATATAGATAGCAGCACACCGACTCCAGCTCCTTGACAGTGGGAACACAGTCCTTCCTGTCATTGTACTTCGCAGCGATAAGGAGAGCTACACAGCCAACGAGCTGGTAGTGACGCCTGTAGACCACACGCTTGGAGCAGTAACGATCCAAGAGGTTGATGGTCAGGAAGAATGTCGACGGCAGGAGCTGGAATACAGCATGGGCCTCTATCATGAAGTCAAGGAGATAATGTCGCATGAACCACTCGATCTCGGGTTGGATGTCGATCGATTCAATATCCGGAAGTGTTTGATCCTGGTGATAAACACGATTAGCCAATATATTCCCGTCCCACTAGTACTCGCAGCAACTCACATCCATGTCCAGCATGTGGCTTAGGACGTCCTCCCTGAGCTCTTCGCTGGTGAGGTCAGATAGCTGATCCGCAATAACATACTGCCGCCCACAAGCAACGAGTTTCTCGTGCTCCCGCTTGGGTTGCTTCTTGAGACGCAGACGATACTCGTCATCCACAAAGAAGGTCTCACAGGGCTGGAAGCCAGAACGAGGGCGCGTGTAACCCATCGTTGTCGAGGTACTCGAGGACGACGGGAAGGAGGGGCGAGACTTGGACCGGCTTTGCTGAATACTGAATGAAGGGGTCTGGAGAGCGGGGATGATCAGGTAACGACGGAGTTAAGAGAATGACAATCGTCGAGGATTAGTTGAAGAAATGAATGACTGGAGACTAACTGGCAACGATTAAGGAGTGAAGACCACTGTCGGGACTTGGATGCAGGGAAAAAGAGAGTCGGGTTCCCCGGGACGAAGTCTTCAGAAGTGAAAGCTGGCAGAAGAATGGGTGTATTAGCGGGCCGGGCTGGGATTAAAGCAAAAATTGGTGTCAAATGCGAAGAGAGAAAGATGAAAGAACGAGAAAATCGATACCAAGTGCTAGCAGAAAAGGGTGGTCAACTTCGGAGAATACTAACCCTACAAAGAGCCTTCGGGCAGAAGACACTGCGACGTTACCGCGATGGCGCTGGCATTTAGGCTGGAAAGAACGTGATAATGATCCGATAGATTAGGGTTGTGGTGGATGACAAGACTGAAAGATGAAGCAAGAGTCACCGTCTTCATCCCTGGGGCTCGGTGTACTGGCTGCAGAATGTGGAATGCAGACACGGGACAATCCTATGAAGGGCGGATCGGATTATCAGGGGAAGGTGCATGCAACAGGAATGAACAGAACTTACACCTCAGGAGATGACGCGTTCTGAATGAGCGCCCGGGCGGATTGAAAGGGAGACTGTAAGATTGGGCGACCCCAGATATCATCCACAAAGGAGCAAGACGACACCCAAAAGCCCAAAATTAATCCTGAGTTGACCAGAGAGTGTAGGTCAATTATTCTCAAGGGAAGAGATCGGCGCGAAGACCCTAGACTTTGAAGATCGCAGGGTTAGGAGCGTCGTCGCGAAACTCATCTGACTCTTCGGCGGCGAGATGAATGAGAGAGCGAGTCCGTGAGCCACTCAATCTCGACCTCACAGCGTCCCGACTGTCTGTTCAAGTACGCCAAACCTATTACGGCGGACATCCATCCCTTGGTGGAGCCCCACTGCAGCGGGCCGGTGAAGCAACGTGCCATCGAAGCGCGCCTCGAAGTGGAGGTCCAGGCGTTTGAGCGCCACCATCGCCGCGAAGCCGAGGCCTACCATACTATCTTCCGGTACCTGTCCCCCCATATCAGTATTCACGTCGCGAGATTTGAGACGTCTCGCGACCTTCGGAATGAACTCAAAGAACGGTGCTGGCGGATGGAACTCGCCACATTCTGCTAGCTGTTCGCCCAGCTTCGCGAAACCACTGGCGAGCGCTGTGGCAGTGCGCGCGATTTTGTTGGTCGTGTACGGTTGCTCGTACATCGATTGAATGCTATAGTGCCCGGATCCATTGGCGATCGAACGCACATTGCGATCTTACTGACGCAGATCGGACCGGAATACATTCTAGTTGTGGATGCCATTCAGAATGACAAGGATCCGGTGAATCCGACCACGATCGGAAACCGTCTGTCTAATGCTGAGCAGACTGTTCGGAGAAAAGAAGCTCCAACACCTTTGCAGGTAGCATCTGGCTCGTCCGTCAATACGGTGCAGCAGACTGCCAAGAAATGCAATTATTGTAAGAAGCGCGGCCATGTGGTCGCGCAGTGCTCGAAGAAACAGCGAGAAGCTCAGCCGTCCAGGGACCATGCCCTGAAGGCCGAGAGGAGTGTTTCCGGCTCACCAAGAAATAATTTGCAAATGATACCATCAAGCCAGATGGCAGATCGGCAGGGCCCGCCGACTTCCAAGAGACCGAGGATCAATAGCGTCAGGGCGAGGGTGACGACCCTTTATACCCACGCACCGCAGCCCCGGTGGATCCTGGACTCTGCCGCTACCAGCCACATCCGCTGGGACCGGAGCTGTTTTACCAGTTTGCGGCCCCACCGCGAGGTGTTGGACGCGGCGGGCGATCCAGTAGAAGCCGAAGGGATTGGTACGGTGAAGCTCACGCTCCGGGGGAAGTTTAACCAACCCCTGGTGTTGAAGAACGTGTACTTCGCGCCACGCGTCGGGATGAACCTGATCAGCGTGCCGAAGCTACTACGAGACCGCTACTCGGTGGTGGCGCACCCGTAGAACGTCTTTGTGCAACGCCGAGGGCGAACCATGGGGACTGCGTACCATGCGGAGGAGGATCTGTTGATCCTGCGGTGCCATGTGAGCAAGAGATCTCGAGAGCGAGTCCAACTGGCGAGGGCGCCGACGATTCATGACCATGCAGATTCCCTGGAACCGCAGGCGGTGGCCATGGATGTCGACAGCCCTGAAGAGTCAAGTGGCGTAGGATGCGCATCGCCAACCTCTGAACTCGGTGGTGAAGCTGTGATACTCGAAGAAGATGCGGGCAAAGGAGTGGACCAGGCCTCCGAAGCGTTGTGGCACGCTCGGATGGGACATTTGAACCGGGGCGACTTGAGGGTGGTCCTCCGGCAGACCGGCACTCCGTACCGACCGCTGACGCAGGCGCAGCTGCAGGCAACGCCGCAGTGCCCGGCGTGTATGTCGGGTAAGCAGCATCAGAAGAGGAACTCCCGCGCAAGACGGCCACGTCTGCATTCAAGAAGAATTTTCGAATTGATCCATTCGGACATCATGGAGATGCCGATTGCCAAAGATGTCTCCAGGTACGTGATCACCTTTACTGACGATTATTCTCGTGGCTCGTGGGCCTATGCCATGAGATGGAAGCATGAAGCGCTCCAGAAGTTCCGACATTTTGAGGCTTAATCGCACCGACAGTTCGGGGCCCAGATTAGAAGATTCCTCACCGACAATGGAAGAGAATATCTGCCGATCGGAACACACCTCGAAAGCCAGGGAGTTGAGTTCGACACCTCGCCGCCATACTGCAAAGGACAGAATGGGCTGGCCGAACGCACGAATCGCACTATCCGGGAGCGGATCAACACGCTCCTGTCCGATGCGAACCTTCCTCCTTCCTGGTGGGTCGAGCTTGTCGACACGGTGGTCTATCTGAAGATGCGTGCGCCAGCATCGATCCTACAGAAGAAGACCCCGTTTGAAGTGATTTATGGGAAGCCACCGGCGCTCCTGCATCTGCGTGCCTGGGTTTTGATCCCAAAGGAGCATCGAGCCAAACTCGGGCCGCGATCGTCCGAGTGCCGCCTACTGGGCTACTGTGAGCCGAACCAGTACAAACTGTACGAAATTCATTCTGGAAAGACAGTCTTCTCCCGCGATGTCGACTTCGATGAGCGGACCCCTGTGGCGCCACTCATCGAGGGGGAAACAGGCAACGACCTTCCGGATAATACTCCTCCATCGCCCGTCTTTTCATCAATTCCACGCTTAGCTAGCGGGCTGCCAACGCCTCCTGCATCGCCATTATCTCCGTCGAATGACCAAATGAAAATGCCCGAGGAGATCCCTCCAGTGGTCAATCCGACTGAACAAGGACTTGATGTGACCTCGGATCTTGGGTACTCAATCTACGGTCGCCGACGAAGACCGTCGCGGCGTCTTCTGGAATCACTCGGTAAAGTATACTCGGCAGGCGCATTGAAAGCATGCCCGGACAGACGAGTCGATCCGGTGACCTTTGGCGAAGCTGTGTCAGGCTCAGACCAGCTGGACTGGTGGGCCGCTATCCAGAAAGAATATTCTTCGCTTCTTGAACACGGAACATGGGAAAAGATTCGACGAGAAGAGGTTCCGGCTAGTGACCATGTGATTGGCTGCAAGTGGGTCTTCAAGACCAAAGCTAACGGAACGCGTAAAGCGCGTTTGGTCATCAAAGGCTATCGGCAGCAACAGGGCATCGACTTTCATGAAACGTTTGCGGCGGTGTCCAGGATGGACTCGGTCCGCTGCATCGTCGCCAGCGCCGTGCTGCGTGGATGGAAACTCCACCAATTCGATGCGGTCACCGCATTTCTCCATGGAGACATTGACTCCTCTATCTATATGGAGCTGCCAGAAGGCTTTGAAGAGCCAGGATACGTGTGTCGACTGCGCCGCTCAATGTATGGACTGAAGCAGGCTCCGCGGATTTGGTACCAATGCGTCCGCCGCGTCCTGTCTTCTCATGGATTCACCATGGCCTAGTCGGACAATTGTGTGTTCTACAAGCCAGACTGCGTTGTCTGTGTCTATGTCGACGACTTTCTTGTTGCGGCAGCAAACAAACACAAAATCGACCAAGTGCAGCAAGCATTGCAAGCGGAGTTCCAGCTCAATGATCTGGGCATCCCACAATCATTTCTCGGGATCCAGTTTGACCACCAGGTTGACGGATCTGTATCTATTCACCAACACCAGTACATCCAGAAGGTGCTGTCGGATTTTGGTATGGAGAACTGTCAGCCGAAGTCTACGCCGATGAACCCTAAGCAAAGCCTGAATTCTCGCGCAGAGGAGGAACCTCCGGATGAAGAAGCAAAAGCTCGCTACGCGACTGCTATCGGCTCGCTCATGTATTTGATGGTTGGCACGCGACCAGACATCGCGTTTGCGCTAGGAATGTTGAGTCGCTTCACATCCCGACCGCAATCTCATCATCAAGTCGCCCTTCAACGGCTGCTACGCTACATCACAGCCACACAATCATACCGGATCACCTACCGCAGCGGGCAATTAATTGGATACACAGATGCCGATTTTGGTGGCTCTGTCGTCACTGACGGTGCCTACTCAACATCTGGCTATGTCTTCCAACTTGCAGGCGCGCCAGTTTCCTGGTCTTCTAAGAGACAGGGGGAAGTGGCCACATCTACAACCCACGCCGAGTATATCGGACAGTACAATGCTATTCTGCATTTACAGTGGCTTCGCACCTTTCTGGCTGAAACTCACCTGTACCGCTCTCCAGTCACCAACATCATGGCTGACAATCAGTCTGCCATTGCTCTCTCTCGCAATCCCGAGTTCCATAAACGAACGAAACACTTCAATGTCAAGTTCCACTACCAGCGCGCCGTGCTGGATGCTGGCGAGATTGGGCATCAGTATGTTCCGACCGAGGAACAGGCCGCGGATGGTCTCACCAAGCCATTGGGGCCTACGGCCTTTCTCAAGTTTTGTAGTCTCCTAGGAGTGGATGCTTCGGAGACTGTGATAAAACGCGCGACAGCGCAGGCGCTCTTTCCGCTGTATTTTCCCACGAAGCTTTTTTATTGAGTGGGTTTACTGAGGCCCGACCGCTCTGCGCAGTTCTAGTATCGCCCTGCCAGCAAAGCGATCCTGAGTGGGAATGTTGTGATATGAGGCTGGTGCAGATCAGGAACCAAGCCAAACCATAGGAATTAATTCCGAAGTATGTATACGAAGAGTCAGGTTAATTTCCAATCAACTTGATCTTCTTATTGTATATATAGCTTCATGTGTTCCCTTTAAAATAAAGAGAATCAATCCTTCCTCTGAATAACTACACTTGGTGTTGTGAGAGCCAAGAAAACACTATTATGCAGGCACGCATTGGGTTGGGGCACCCCAAAGTAGCCGGCAATAACTTACAGCTTCGGAAAGTTAGAAGCAAATGGACCTCAACAAAAGGCAAACTTTCGAGTCTATCGTTCTCATGGCAACAGGATACTGAGTGCTTGTTTTTATCAGAGAGGGATATACAGGGCAGTTGCATGAGCCCCAGTGAAGACATTGAATCAAAGTGATTTACAGGATTTCATCTCTGGTGAAGTGGATTTGCAAATGCTAGGATCTGACCTTCTCTTTGTTTGACATGCGCGGTTAATGTCACGTTGTAGTTCATCACGAATGTAGGGTCATATTTGGTTTTCGCCGAACAATCCTATTGTAGATCCAACGATTTTGCCTCAGCCCTAGATTAGAGGAAGTTAATCTTGAATTTTATGTTTAAAAAACGCATTTGCACGGTCGTGAATGCTGTTGCTCCCACCACTGCGAGCCTTTCCATCTATTTCAAAAGTGCCTGAACAAGCTCGAATCAATATGCATCCGATATATCACATTATTTCATACATTATAATTCCAGGTGCGCTGGCCACAGTTTGCGCCCCAAACTCAGCAGCTTACTGTTGTGCTGGGAGTATGGATATTGGTGAAATCATGGGGCGTCAAAGCGGAATTGGAAGTGCTTGTAGGTGTCACTGAGCTGCTGAGCACCGCTGAATTATGTAAACTGAGAAGTCATAGGCTGGAAACTTCGAAGTCTCGATTCATCCTGCGTCCGCCCTAATGTCGCATTTTGTGCCTGGATAGTTGTGAGTTATGTTGTTTTTCAATGCAGGCTCCCGGAAACTGAATCTTCTATATAGAGCGCACAGCTAGACCCTATCAACATCATTGGCGAAGTGGTGACAGAGGAATTGGTATATAGCAAATGAAATCTTTCGCGGGTGTCATGGCCCCTGAGGGAGTCAAGCCAATTGTTATGCAAGGCGAATACAACGATTTGCTAGGACTTTGATCATTGCCTCTTTTTCTGATAAAGAAGCGACCTAATGTCTATTTCCGAAGTTTAAAGTACTTTCTGCTCGTTGAATTGTTTTTTCTGGGAGAGATAACCTAGTCTGTAGTCTGCACCAGTGAGGCTAAAGGGGTTTGTGCTCGCATACATGATGCCGCGATCTAGTAAAAGTCTGCCCCCCCAAGACTTTACCTTTGACATAAACTAAAGTTTACCAGTTTCAAACGAATACTTGCTGTTAGTTCTCGACAGGATGCCCTGTGGAGGAGGCCTTAATCAACGTATCGTTCCTGGGCGTTCCGGGCACACCAAGAGCATCTAAGAAGCACGAAACTAGTTTAAACGATGCAAAATGAAGTGCTACCATATTGTTGGTGTAGATAATACGACCGCTAGTCAGAATATTGTAAAAAGTTGTGTTGAGGTGGCGGACCTTCGTTATGCGAGGGTCCGTGATAAATTATTGTCCGATTTGTCTCTGGAGGCTAAAATAGAGCTATATATGCATTCCAACCTTAGACCAAATATAACTTCCCTGCTTTGTAAAGCCAATTCGGGATCAATTCCCATGAGACGGCTGGGCTGATAGGATGGCCAAAGTGCAATCCAAATGCGGAAAGTATGATAATACATTTGGTAATTCCTTATTCACCACAGAGAATAAGACGCCTCTTCAGGAGAACAATGACTACTTGAGCCACTAGCAAAGGGGCAGATCGGTAGGTAGTGGCGGCTGAAATGCCTTTGACAAAGGTCTAGATACAACTGGAGGGCTAGATCTTTCCGAAGGCTATCATATGGTCAATTTCCAAGCATATTCACACAGTGAGTACAAAGCATTGAGACAAAATTTTGGTGATCTACTCGGAGAGAGGAACGGCCAATGGTGTTAGTGCAGGCACTGAGGCTCACTGTTATGAATAAGCAACAACAATTCAAGCAGTAAGAGTACAAAATGCGTATGTAGGAACCGGGAGTTGCTTAGGGATCAGGCCAGATTTTCTCTCACTATTCAGAATAGGTGCATGTAGTTGTATCAATATGAACCATGAAGAGAAGAATATGATCATGTAAGGTATAAAAAAGTAGGGGAACTCCCCACTTTACACGATTTGCAGAATCCAAATTAGATATGTAAGATAGAATGAGGAAGTCTTTTGAGTTGCGAAATAAGAAATGAACCGCTAAGTTGTTTTCAATGTCTATACAGGATACGTCGGATGACTTCAACAGCTGATATCAACCTATTTGCAGTCAGCTAAAGGTCTTAGGAACACCTATAGATATTATAGTTAAACAGGGAAAGGGAAGTATCACTTGGTTCCAATTCTGTCTTATCAGGAAACTTTTCCATATTAAGCTGCTGAAATGGTAGTGCTGCAAGTAGGCAAGAAACCGGCAACATCTTTATGAATAGTGTGGCTTTGTCAAGATTAATCTCATCGCCTGTGTGCCACTTAGCCTATTCTTGTTCTCTCGCCATCGTCTTACAGAGAACTGAGCCCGATGTCACATAGCGAGTTGCGCATAAAATTGACTTCCGGGTAGAAAGGGTAGCGTGGTTTCCGGAGAAATGGGCTAGAACGGAAGACACATTCCTGACACATACCAAAGAAGGGTTAAAATGATGTGGATACCTGACATTCGCCAAGAAAACTTAACATGACTCGCGCTTTCAACCGGGCCAGATTTGTCATTGGTAGGAATCTGTGTCATGCCCACCTTCAATCGTTATTGTTGGAAGCTAGAGAGAGCTGGTAGGAGAGAGTTCGTGCACTGCCAACCTATACAAGATTATATGCGTCAACTTTGAAGTCAGGAATGAAGCTTATTGCTAGACTAGTCCATCAAATGTGTCTCGTTCGGCTCCTTTGTACAGATTGATCTACCCAATTTTAAACCCAAGATTGAGATCGGTGTTGTGAAGCAGGCACTGGGAAGAGGACTTGCCGACTTTCGAATACAAATAAAGCCCAGATCTTCTCTGTTTTTTTTTTCATAGTGCGAATAAATTTCCTGAACGAACCATCTTGAGTTATTGGTATCGCGCGTCCCTCCCCTAAAGGCAGAGCTAAAGACGTTTCCGCAAGGTATAGAATGGTGTATGTTTTTAAACAACGTGGTGCTCCATATATAGAAGTAATCTTCTTTTTTCATAAGCTCGAATAGCAAGCAAAATCCTGCTCTCCAAATCTATAGAATAATGGAAAGGATGGTTAAAAATAAGTGGCAGCCCTCCTTTGTTTGCAGGTCGTCTTCTTTTCCGGTGTTCGACAAGTTGCTCTCTTCTTTTTTTTTACTCAAAAACGATTCCGCCAAAGTATCCCGAATCTTAAAGGTCGCGGGGTTACGAGGGTTTCTAAAAGCATGAACCTTCATCGATGGGGACAGCTCACCCTTTGAGGGGGGCCAGGCTTTGCATGAGACGCGGGCTGAGAATGTGAGATGCACCTGATATGGCTATTCGGTCAGCCCTGGTGGTATCCATATTTGTCGCTGCTTCCTCTATAGGTTCTCGCTCCTTCTTTCCAGAGAATTACTCTCTGCACTTGCCAGTATGTCTTTGACGTGATCTATAAACAGGGGCTCAGGTGGTGCATAAGCCCTTAAGCCATTAGTTTTGTTGGCGCAAGGTCTGGCGTAATGAGCGACATAGATCAAAATCACAATGCGTAGTCTAGTCCATATCTCTACTCTTTCGAGCTACGCCTGATATATGGTCTCTCTGATACGCTCATTAACCATCAATAAGCGTAGGGCATACCATCCCTTACGACATCTCGGTCCTAGATTCTCTTTTTAACCATGCTATTACCATTCATTGCAGGCTCGGAATTCCTTGGATTATATTGTCATTTGCTTTGTGGAGGTCGATGAAGCACAATGCTTGAACAAAGTACCATTCCGCAATACTGCAGTAGTATCCCGATAGTCTCCAGAATGGGGCAGAAAAGGTATGCGGATACGCTGTTAGGAATCTAGACATCTACATGGAGGAGAATTCCCCTTATCATTCCAAAGCATAAATGCATATAATAGGTCAGCCAAATGGACTTTTATTTGGGTGGCTTTCTCCGACTGCTACGTTTGACTTGAGATAGAACATTTCAACATGGGCTGCAGAACACCGAACAATAACGATTTGATCTATATACCTAAAAATCGGAACCAGTGCGGACAAAAAAGCCGTCTTAACTCCAGTTCGCGGAGAGCTTTTGCTGGCGCGGGGGCTTTCGTCCAGGGAACGAGAGGAGAGCATCTAAATCGTCCGTTGATAAGCCATGCGGAATTCCCCTCGAATACTACCGAATTTTCTTTGGTTTTACTCAATAATTCCATTGGAAGAAGAGACTGCCCTGAGCTATTACCTTTGGTAGATCCCAGTGGTGCGAATCCGACAAAATGGCGGCATCCGAGTACTATCAGCACTTTTGATCGATGTGATTTGATCAACATCAAAAGCCGCCGCAGATACTGGAGACGTAAGGTTTTCCAAATCTCATATTATTCTTTGCTCGCAGCGGTCTCTTATTTTCTCCTTGCGGGATTTCCTCTGTGGCAAGGAGGCCTGGTATGGCTCTACGACAACATGCAGACAAAATCGCTGGTAACCAGAGGTTGGGCCATTTTCATTGGGGTATCTACTTTGTTAGACTCACCAGATTCCTTCAGCCACATATAACAAAACACTAACAAGCAATTTTCTTTCCCTCTAGGTTTTCTGCCGGTCCTC